TGTGGCCTGTGTGTTCATCGGTGACCAAGTATTTTTTTATTTGTGACCAGTGCTCAGGCATTGTTATGCATTTGGAGGGGAATTTTTGCAGTTGTTTGTATAAATCTCCTTTTCAAGTTCATATTCATGTTGTGACCTTTATAACAATGTGTGACCAATTACTTATTTTGTGTTGTGACCAATGCGCAGGCATGGAGATTCATCATACCAGAGAATAGTTGATTTCCCGGTAAAATCACGATTACACCTACGAAGGGTGTGCTGTCAAATTTCAAAGCCAACCTTAATGAAGACCAACGGCGTATACTGCAGAACACATGTGTTGTACACTTCATGGAATGTGATGAAATTGCAGTACAGTCGCAGTTGATACACTATTTCCTGTTGAGGCAGGTTCGGCAGCCCAATGAGAATGAAATGTGGTTCAATATAGCTGGGAGGTTTGTAAGATTCTCTTTGTCGAAGTTTTGTTTGGTGACTGGTCTTAGATACTTTGGTGATGTAGATATGAATCGGTTGGAGAAGACTCCCTCGCATTTGAAAAGGAGATACTTTAGTAACTTGAAGGTGGTGACGCACGCGGATGATTTCTTTCTGCGGTTGACATTCCAGATGAGGATGTATTAAGGCTTGGTGCATTGTATTTCATTACTTCGCACCTATATCCAAGAGACTATAAGAAGGTGGTTGAACACTATATGTTTGTTCTAGTAGAGGATTTTAATCTGATGCACTCGTTCCCGTGGGGTAAGTCACTCTTTGAGGGAGGGTTTGAGCAAGAGAATGACCCATTATAGACTACGAGGTCTTCTAATAGCGTATCAAGTATGGATTTACGAGACGATCCCTACCCTCGATGGATATGTAGCAAGAAGGACCTCAAGAACGTATCCCCGAATAAGGAATTGGACGGCAGACGATCACCCACCTGCTGCTAAGCTTGAAGGACTTGATTGCTTCTGTAATCCTGAAGTAATGATCTAAACACCATTTACAATACGTCAATGCATCTCACATGTGCTTATCCTTAACTCACAAGTCATAACACAAAACTTAAATAGTTGTGTATCTAAGTCAGAGATTATACACATCAAGTCACAACATATGTTCATTGACTCACAATTAATAATATACAGGTCACAAAACACACTCATGACATGCCTCATACGATTATAACCGGACATATACCCAGTTACTGTTACAGCTCATTGCTTGGGTTTATTATGTTTTATATCGATGTAGTTTACTGACATTACATTGTGTCTATGCTTGGAATGGTAGATGGAAATATGTGACCTGGACCCATCAGACATGGAAATGGCAGTGTCGTACATGTATGAAGTGCAATATATCAAGCCTGGCCAACCTGAACGTTCACGTGGGGAAAGGAGAAAAGAGGGTATGGTGGACAGATCAGTTCATTCCGTCAGGGCAACTAGGAAGCCGAGTTACTCTAGTGTAAAAGCATCTAGGCCACTGCTTATGATTACGGATGGTAGACTTGGTCACTCCAATGTGCCTCGTGACGATGGTGAAGACGATTTTGTTGACACCCCACCAGATGGCAGGGAACAACGTTCCATACAAATTCGCCTAGTAGGGAGGATCAACTGACACCAAACGATGTAAATTGTCAAATAATGTCAGCTGTGGGTCATAGGTCACATTTTCTAGCTCACGCTTTTCTGTCAATTCATTACAGGTCACAGGTTATTCCACCTTTACTATTTTCATAAGTCGTCGTGTTCACACGTCACATGTATTAGAAACAGGTCACAGAACAGGTCACGTGTCATAGATTATGACACATTCAATTATTATTCTTACTGCAACATCGTAGTTCATTTCTAGGTCGCAGTTTCTAGGTCATTGATCTGTTAGTTCATTATGGGTCGCAGGCATATGGACTATAGAGGTTTTCACCATTGTCTTGCCACTGATAATGGGTACTCATATGGTGTAGGTGGTTGACGAAATGCGAAAATAGTTTTTCAAACAATTAACTGAACTCCAAACTGAGAATCGTCGAATGAGTGTGGCAATCGATGCTATGAAGTCAGAGATATCGTCACTCAAGCATGATCAGCAAACAGAGATATCGTCGCTCGAACATGATTACCAAAACAAATTGAACACTATTGTCCACATACAAGGTAAAATTCGTACAAACTTGATTGACATCAGATCAAACATGCAGTTTATGATCGAATTCGTCGCTGCCTTGATTTCTAGTTCCATGGAAGAATTCCTGACCAAATTCAGAGATAAATCTAGGTTAAACATTGTCAGAGATTATGAACCTTTGGACAAGGTAATCAACATACCATGTGATCTCATAAAATGACATATGTTCATTAGTCTTATGAACTTTAACTATGATTATACATTTTATGTTACAAGTTGGAGATGCGGAAATAACAATTGATTCTAAAGGCAAGGGTAAGATGGAAACCGTCGTTGACGTTGAATTTCCATATAGCATACAACCTCCATCCTTCGATCTGGGTGTTTGTTTCAAGCAACCAACACCCATAGAACCAACGAAATCGATAAAGGTGGGAACGTATGTTGAGTCTATCGTATATGATGTTCTGAAGGACACAGAATCTGCTGAGAAGGTGGTAAGCCGAAATAATTCTGTCAGATATGTAAACTACTGTACGTTGCATGTTCCAATAAGTCACAGTCCATACCAAATTAATATGCAGGAGTCTCCTATTTCTGTACCAAGTTCTAGATTGCCCGTTAAGAGGGCTCCTAGGCAGGCTAAAGCACTTCAATCTCCGTATGTTCATGAAGGGAAGCAAATCAAGCATCCGAGTAATGTCGTAATCTTCCTACACTACAATCAGTCTGCGGACCATGCCGATATTGCTGACTTTCAGAGTTGGTTCCAAAGAGGATATAAATCATATAACAAGTATGAATTATTTTTGGCATATCATTATAATTAGTCCGTTTATGAATAGTCAATCAAGTTTTCTTTGCAGGAAAAAGTTTAATGACCGAGATGATCATATTATTCCACCTTTTCTTATTGGTCAATTCGTCGTCGAAAATAAAACATAGTGGTACGAACTTGTGTCTAGGGATGTGTCACTGAGTAGTTCGGTATGTATCCTTTTGTAAGTCTCAATTCATATGAGTAGGTCATAGATTCCATGGTCATGGTCATAGCCAAGTACCTATATGTCACTGCCCACGTCCCTCTTACATTCCAACGTCTATAAAGTTTGCAATGCCATACGTTTATAATGGTCACAGACCATTTGAGGTTGGTCACAGATAAAGGCGAATAGCTCATAGTTTATTTACAGAGTGCACTCAAGCATATTTTCTGGTCACATTTCACCCTGCACAATTTAAAAGATGGTGGTACAAACTTGTGTCTAGCTATGGGTCACTGAGTTATTCGGTATGTATCTCTTTGTAAGTCTCAATTCATATGAGTATGTCATAGATTCCATGGTCATGGTCACAGCCAACTACCTATATGTCACTGCCCACATCCATCTTACATTCCAGCGTCTATAAAGTTTGCAATGCCATACGCATGGTTCCTATGTCCCAACGCAGGTCACATTTTTTGTATGCATAACAGGTCACATATAATGGTCATAGACCATTTGAGGTTGGTCACAGATAAAGGTGAATAGGTCACAGTCAATTTATAGAGTGCACTCAAGCATATTTTCTAATCACAGTTCACCTTGTACAATTTATATGTCAATTCAATCTTACAATTTTTCATTTTTTTAGCATATGGATGTGTGCTTCTATTACATACGTCAGTTAGCGAGTAGTGGCAAAAACATCAAAGTCATCGCCACCACGACTGACACGTTGTTTCAAGCCAAACTGAAGAACATGTACCACAAGTTCAAGCAAGATCTAGAGGTCATTGTCACGGATGAGAGACTCATTGACGACATCACAGGTACACGAATTCCACTGAGCAAACCTTGGGCAGAAGTGGACCTTGTGTTCATGCCCATTCTGCCTACAAACAAAGCGCATTGGATGCTTGCAGTGCTTGATATCAAAAAGCATACCTTACTTCTATTAAATTCAACAAGGAAGACATACAATGACACCAAGGTCCTTATCGGAATTGATCCTTTCGTCAAAATGATCTCTCACCTCATGGACCGTATTGAAATTTGGAGAAAGGATTCGGATCCATCTGCTGACGATTCTAAGGAGTTGAAGGTGGTGTTTAATTTCTCCGTTCTGCAACAAAATAACGGGTATTTTTTGTCATCGAGAATTTAAACATACTGTTATAATATGATTCTACATATAATGGACTGGAATTTTTTTCACTTTGCAGGCATAACTGTGGCATATATGTGATTAAATATACCGAGTACATGCTGCATGATGATTTACGATCAATGGCGATGAAATTTGATGCGGCTGGATGTCGCATCATTGTTATTCAAGCATCGTGAAATCAGTACAAAAAGAAAGACGTTGCTGCCAACCGGTGGAGATAGTATAGTTATTGAGTGACATTCGAGGTGTAGCTTGAAAATGCAGTAGAATTGAATGTAAAGTGTGGTTTATGGATAATTTTTTTGTTTGCTTTGAACAAAGGTATTTTGTTCTTGGGATACATTTTTGTACTGGATTTAAGCAACATTAATTAAGCAATTGTTTGAGTTTTTGATTTCATGTGTCTTGAAATTATATTTTGAATGTATTATTCAACATGAGATATTGTGTAACGTATTCCATATTATTTTAACTGGATAACATGTCGCAGCAAAAGTCAAAGGATCCCATGATTTAGTTAGATCCTATTGTGAACAGGTCACACGTTGCAGAAAATTTCACGAAAAAGGTCACATATCGTACAGTAGGTCTCAGTTATTTCTTATTCTTATTGCAACATCACAATTCATTTCACAGATCATCGATCAGGTCACAATTTGATGTATATTGTTCATATCACAGACAACTGAAAATAGGTCACAGTAGAGATCACATGTTCCAATTCCTTATGCACAGTCTCTTGCCAACGGGTCACAGTACGAGTCACATGTCACATAAAAAGTGACCGAACCATAGTTCATTGCATAGGTCACAAGCAACTGGAAACAGGTCACAGCAGAGATCATATGTTCCAATTCCTTATGCACAGTCTCTTGCCAACAAGTCCCAGTACGGGTCACATGTCACATAAAAAGTCACCGAAAATGTCACAATAAGTATAATATTCTTTGTGCACAACCATAGTTCGTTGCAAAGGTCACATGTCAATGTTCTAGGTTTACATAATAGCTAATAGACTATTTTTTACCTGTGACACCCCACACTCGTTTGTAATGAAGTGAATGTTACAACCCTCCCGATGACAGGTCGCACTATAATGGTCACAACACACGTCACAGGTTCTTTCAGGATATACCCAATCCCCACCTATCATGTTTGCCTGTATTTAAAAATGCGTTTATGTGGAAAGAACATTACAAGTACAATATTAAAACATCCTTATTAGAAGGTTTGAACTTGGAAATGTTGTTATTAAATGAATATTTGTGTCCTTTAACAAATTGTGTCTGATATTACGTTCAAACACTGAATGAAGAAGTAAACCAACTGTCTTAACAGAACCAAACTGTTGCAAGTTCCGTGATATGTATCATCAGTCGACTTCCTTATCTTGTCTTTGTTTTTTCGATTGAATCTGACTTAATGGAACCAAACTGCTACAAGTTCTGCGATTGTGACCACTTTCACCGCAACGACCGCATTTGACAGTTATGTTATCTTCAACTGCAGATCTAAACCTCTTCTCAGTAGGCCTTCCACAACTTCGCTTTTGATTAGGTGGTAACACAACTATGTTCTCGAAGTCTTTGGGCACTATCCATTCACTGGGATTTCCTATAGGGAAAATAGTTTCGTTTTAAGTATTCTTGTATGCTTCTATCGTGTAATAATATGAACAAAACTCATATGGATCCATCTTCACACTTGCGATCACAGCCAAAGTGTGTGGACATGGTAGTTGATCAACTTGAAGCATCCTACACGTGCATGTATGTCCTTCTATATCAACAACAAAAGTTAAATTTTCACAGCCGGCTGAGAACATTGCCTGATTAATATGCGCAACCTACAACCAAAAAATAATATAACAAATGTCACTAAGAAGTTGGACACAACGAACAAGTTACAGGTCACAGATAACATTTCAGGCACAAATGTTGACATTACCCTCAAGTTTCTCATATTCGTGCTCATTTCCCTCATTTGCTTCTCATACTTCCTTGACAAGGTTGTGAAAGTGGCTTGCGCGGTTTCCCGATGTCTACAAAACCACGATTGTATGGTTTGTCGCAATGACTCCAACAAAGCTACGATGGGATAGTTCTTAGCAGATTTTGTGGCCGCATTAACCGACTCTACTATATTCGATGTCATTGTAGAATATCGATTCGTTGGCATGTGGAATTGTGAGCATTTAGCAGGTCCAACACCATCCTACAAACATAAACATGATTATCTATTAATGATATATTTCACAATACTGTAATAAATGTATGCACAAGAATATAACTTGGTGGTAATATGTAATGTATTACTAGGTAACCCCTTATCTTTCCATCAATCGCATCGAGCTGTTGCATATATTCGTATTCTAACAACGTGCAGGCACGAATAGTTGAATTAAATGTTTGCATTATATTGTTACCCGATTTTCCATAACGTGACTTTAGATTTTGAAGGAGATGATACGAACAAATTTCATGATATGTTTCTGGATACACCTTCTCAATAGCATTTTTGATGCTATTATGGCGATCTAATACGAAGCACAACCCTTCTCTATAGCCATACGCTATCCTCAAGTTTTCGAAGAACCATGTCCACGAGGTATCATTCTCATTATCCCCAATCCCGAAAGTAAGTATGTATATGCTATTATTTGCATCCTGTGTACATGCAGTAAATAATGTCCCACCATAGTGTCCATTTAAGTATGTGCCATCAACTACAATAACTGGCCTACAATGTCCCCAACCTCGAATTGATGCGTCTAGCGCCATGAAGCAAAATTTGAACCTACTGTGACCATCAAGCTCCAGATCTTGACCGTTCTAGGATTTGTATGTTGCAACATGGCAAAGAATCTTGGTATATTATTAAAAGAATCTGCTGGATCAACCTAATCAGTTTCAAAGTTTCCTCTCGAGACCTCCACGCTTTCACATAGTTCAACGATACTCCATACGTATACAACACGTTATTACGTATATCGTTTGGGGTATACAGAGTACGTGACGATGTGTACTTATATTTTATGTAGTGCGACACAAGTGCTTTTGTTGCTTGCCTATGAGAACCAAGTACAATGTTAGAAGCACATCTGTGACCTTCTACAATATGCATAATTTTAAATAACTTTGTTCTAGCCATCCTAAATGCTCTATAGATCCAATCACACTCGTCATGTAAACATTTGACAAGATAGTCCTTCTTATCTGACCGAACAACCACATATTCAAACATGTTTTGGATCGCATAAAGGGACAAGCTCAGCTTCATGATCTCTTGCTTACGAAAAACCCTTCCCATCTCTACGTTCCTAGCGTTAGCGACCGATACAACCGTGACCTCATACTCATAATTGTCACACAATGGTTCTATTATCGCCCCGCATATATCTGATGACATACCCATCAATGAAAATTTCGGTCCACTGGGTTGCACACCAAATGGTAAGATTGCATTGTTCTGTTGGCTATCTTTTTCCATGACCTCAATGATGATTGGATATTTGGATGGGTCACGATCCATATCTTTCAACGCCATGTATGACAGCACATTATTGTCAATCTTGATCACAATTGGAGGCAGTTCACTATTCAAAACATACTTCATTATGACTGCCACTTCAGTGGGATCCAATCCAATCTCGACCATAACTGTATCCACCAGTTGCATGTACTCGTAATTACGATCGATTAAGACCAACGAAGGCTCTGAGACATTCAATAAGCAAACATGTATGTATCCCATTTCTGTAACACCAACTAGAATAATGTCAACGACAAAACAAGGTTTAGGTCACAACAAATGAATATCACAGATTAGGACACAGAGTCACAATTTGCGGATAACAACAAATTCGTCGCAGTTTCATTACAAATCGTGAACAGGTCACAGCATCATGTCACATATGTGTCAAAGTTTCAAATGGAGCACAATACGGTTATTACAGGAAATATGTCAAAGTTTCAAATGAAAATGGAGAACAGGTCAGAGCATCATCTCACAGATATTGAAAAGGAGTCGCAATACGCAGACGACAACAAATCATCACCAATTCTAATGCAATTAAGATCACAGTCATAATTCACATATCACAGCGATTGCGTCGCAGCGAATGCGTCACATTCACAATTTATAATGGAATAACGTAATTTAAATCATGACTCAATTGTATGATAGCTCATTACAATGACGCATGCGATCTTAAAATTGACCGATCAGTGGTTATCAGGCAGCAAGCGAATTGTGAGATTAATTGAATTTCAATGACGTGCCCGATGAAAATCGAAACCCCTAAATTCGACGACGACTACTGAATTAGATGCTGTTCAAACGAATCCCTTGACTAATCTGCTGTTAAGCGATCGTCTTTCCCCAACTGTGACCTGGATTATGCGATCGATGTCAATCGAAGGAATTCTGTGAACAATAAAAAAGCAAATTCAGTTTTTTGTCGTCAGCTTGGAGATCAAACATTTTATTTTAGGGATGTGAATCTGTTATGATACAAACTGGGGTCGATGAAGATACGTTCTTGGTTTTTAGGAAACTGATTTGGAAAGAGATTTTGACATACAGTTTTATATGATATCTGATTTCAGAAAATGTAAACCTGTTACCTTATTTTTGAATTGGGCCAAAGTTAGTATCGGTATTATGAATTTTTCCCTAAAAGCTTTCCAGAGTTAATGATGAAACCATATATATAGTGCGCTCAAAACATTTGCTTTATGCTTTAGCCCTTTTTTTCCTTAAGAATAAACTTTGTAAAAATCAATTTTTGGAGAATTTGTGATTAAGAAGTAAGAAAATATATTGAATGTAATTACAAAATTAATTTATTAGGATTATGCGTGTCTAAAAATGAGTTTGGATAATGAATTTTAAAAATTGAGCTCAAATAGGAGCAGGTATTAAAAACCATTACTTAACAAAAAAAATTTCAATTTCACGTCAAACATATAAATGTGTTCATCGTTTGATTTTTGCTAAAAATCATATTTTTAGTCCATTTTGATAAAATTTATTAAATATGCCGTTGAAAAGTTAATAAGAGTTGTGGATTTCATGAAATGTATGGTTAAAATTATTATTAACTTTAACGTTTATTTTTATCAACTTTTTAGTTAAACCAAATAGGGATAGTATATAAAAAGTTGGATTGCCCCATGCCCGGCATTTCCTATTGTAAAAAAAGAGATGTGGAAATTCTACCACACACCTATCTTTTAATAAATATTTAGAATATACTATTCAACATTTTTTTACCATAAATACTATTTTTTATAAAGTAAAAATAGAAATGTGAAAAGATAACCAAAATCAAATAGGCTATTCATTTACATTGTTAAAGTTACTCCACCAAACGCGCCCTTAAATTAATCCAAAATCCTTTGCCTAACTAAACGAACACAAAACCCCTATAATGGTGTTATTTCCTATTGCAATCAAAATCATCCGCATGGATTCTCTCGTCAAAATCCCTCACAAAGAAAGAACTCAAAACCTAAACAGTGAATTGATCATTCACAAATCTCCTGCAAAAGCTTCTTCCATGCCATTCTATGCAAATCCAATATTTGATTCCCATTTTCCATTAATTAAGTCTTTACAACTAGTATATATCCCTTGTCGGAGGCGTACCACCACCACCACTCAACTACAATCCCTTTTTCTGAAAAAACTTCTACCATGGATGATGATAAAAGCATGTCATCTCTAGGCTCTGTATGGGTATAGTAAAATGTCGAAAAGACTCTAGGTGCAGTGGCTCAGAAGTGATATTTGTCCATGGGGTCCATGAAAACACAACGAGCAGCCGATTTATACAAGACCTGTAAGATTATCGAACCCAAGAATGAACTCGTTAACACCCTATCTCGATGCATTACCCGTTCCATTAATGCATCCTCAAAATCAAAAGTCTCAAGCAGTAGTCCACCACTTGCAAAAGTCGTGAGCCCAGATTTCGAATCTATAGGGGGAAGAAACACATGGAGTACAAAGGCAAGAGGGCAGTTGAAGTTGCAGCTGCATTTCCAAACAACAAAAAGAAAAAGTTTGTGATCCAACACAATCCACTGATAATTATTTTAGGTTATGCAACACTTTTTGGTCCCCTCATGTTAGATGTGCAACATATAATCTATAATGCCGCAATTATAGTAACTCTACAGTCAGGTTTGTGTGGAAATTTCAAAAATTATGCTCCCTTTGGCAATGTAGTGAATGCATCTATTTTCTTTCAATTCCGAATGAACGTGTCTAGCCAGCCAGAATTATTAAGTTTTAAACAACAGTCACACTTTTTGTAAACTGCATTTTGGTATAATTATTTGAATTGTGGTATATTATAGACTGGGAAATGCTGAAGGTAAATGAAGTGTGTTAAGTTGATGTGTCGAGAAATTGAGTTGGTAAACATCAAAGGAAAACTGGCTTTATACTATGATCTCGTATTATGTGATAAGTATAAATTATTATGGGCTTGTTTTCCAATTCTTGCAATGAAACAATGACTTCTCTTAGTGGAACATTTGTAGACTAGTAAATTTTATATTTTATATTTCCAAATGTAAGGTGAAATTTTGAAATTAATACAAAAATTTTGGTTTGAAAATTATTATTTCCCCAATGGTTTTGGCTCTTTAATTTTGAATATTCGAAATTAGTTTTTCTAATAATATCCAAAACATTAAGGTTAGGATGTAGATAGTAATTTTTGTTTGGAAGAACAATATTTTGAGCCATTTGCATTTATCAAACCATATCAAATAATAACTTTCTTTGTCAATAATCCCCCCTTTTCGTTAAAATAGGAAACCTTTCAAATTGTAAGGAAAAAAGCTAACTTATTAGCTAAAATATGCAAATTTTCCATATGTTATATATTCATTTAAAACACGCTATTAACATTTGACAGGGGGTACCTGCCACCACCTTGATTGTGTTATAGAAGGAGGACTCATTTTTTCTGTTTCCTATTTTTTTTTTTTTCTAAATTGCTTTTCTGATTAGCTATCCCTAGAGACGACAATTCAAATTGTCAGAATTGAAAATCACGATTGCCTGAATCGAATGGGGAGAAAAAATCGAACCGATGACATAATAGGGTGGATATGGTATTTGATTTTAATGCCCTGGTTCAGGCAGGATGGGTATGGTATTTTAAGCCAACTTTTACAATCCAGCAAGCCGGCTACACCACCTACAGCAACAGAACAGCACCAGAACACACAACCTACAACTTCAATCTCACTTAGTCCACAGCCAAACTCACCACACCTACTCATACCGGGAGTTATTGTGAAAGGGTTAAAAAGTAGCTTCAGCAATAGATGCAGTACTCTACCGTCACTACACCATCACCATCGTCTCTTCACTGCTTGCCATCGTCGAGTTCGATCACCATTTTTCCTCGCTGCAATTCCGTCGTACCCCATTGTCGTTGTCGCCAACCTGTATCTCTGCCATTCTTTACAAGTGCAGCCACCTCTGGGCATATTTGATCCAATCGTCGCCGCTTGCTATTACCTATCCTTGGAACTTCTTAATAGTGCTCCCCTCATAGCTACTACTCTCGGTTGGTGAAGTCTACTGCCAGATTGTCAGACGCCAACTCCACTGGTTTGTCATTGTCCTTTTGAAAACTTTACTTCTATTTAAGTGTTGGCTTCTCAGTAGTTTTCTTAGTTCCTTGTCATCTTATCTGCATATAGTCTAGGTGACTTTTTATCTCACACATAAATTGACATAATCATTTAAAAAAAAGTTCCTTCATTTTTGGCTGTGCCTCTTAACATATATTCCAATTCATCATTATGAATCATAAAGACCTTAATCAATCGCATGATGCTTTCTCACAGCAAGTCACAAACCTTTTATCTGATATGACTTTAGTGAAATCGGACCTCGTTGAACTTAAAAATCTTATCCAAAATTTTACTAAACAAACAGAGCAGTCTTCCTAAAACTTGGGTAAACGTCCTATGGATGAGTTGGTCAAAACATACACGAACCATTCTTCCGCACCCTAGTTAGCAAACTACCTAATCCACACAATCTTGGCCCTATACAACACATTCCTTATTCAGAACTCCGTGACCCCGTTGTCAATAATGTCCCTCGTCCTGATCTCCCACATCCATGTTATGAACAACATAGGGATCCTGTTGATGACGTTACTATGAAAGTTAAAGTGGACACCCCGAAATTTGATGGTCGCCTAGAACCCGAAGCCTTTCTTGATTGGCATGACGCCATCGAAGAATACTTTGATTGGTACCAAATGCTTGATTATCAGCTTATTCATTTCGCCGAGATGAAACTTGTTAAATCTGTTAAACGTTATTAGCAGATGGTGACACAATCCCTTGATCGCTTAGGCTGGCCTATTACGATGTGGAGAGAGATGAAACTGAAACTCACTGAGAAATACGTCCCTTCTTACCATCTATCTCAACTCCTGGAGCGTCTTCTCAACCATAGGCAAAACTCTTCTACTGTGTCAGACTACAAGACTTTTTTTGACGAGTTACGGTACCGTTTCGGCCTTATTGAACCCGAGGATGTCACGATTACTAGGTTCCTTAATGGCCTATGCCCAGACCTCAAACATAAAGTCCTTATCCTCAATCTGGACTGGTTAGAGGATCTTTTCACAAGGCAATTGAACACGAGCAACACTCTCATTCTTTATATTTGCGATGTGGCATTTCAACCTTACTTGACCCGCGTCTCCCTCGAACCCCTCTGCCTGGTGCTCCTACTAGTAGCCTTACTTTGAGACAGACCCGTTCGATTGTGGTATCTTCCTCCGCTCCTATTTTTCGTAACCCTTCTATGGGTCAATCTGCTCCTCTAGCCACCACTCAAGGTCCTAACCTTCAAATGGTATGTCGTAGCTGTCATGCTCGTGATCATATTACCTTTCAATGTCCCAATTGTACACTCACCCTTGCATAGGAACCCCTACTTCCAACCCCAGAGAATAAGTACTTCACGGTCGACCCTATTGACCATTTTGATGAGGATCTTGACCAATTTATGTGTCATGAGGAGGATACTGCTGTTATCTCTACTATGCGATATATCATTTCCACCCCTATTGATTCTGACTCGTGGAAGCGTACTTCCATTTTCCATACATTTATTCCATGCAACTCTTATTCATGCAAGTTAGTTATTGACAGTGGTAGCACTATGAATGTCGTTTCTAAGTCCACGGTGGCCAAGTTCGGCTTCAAGATCGAACCACATTTAAGGTAACATGGATAGATCAAACCTTATTGCTTGTCCTTACCATTATCTAGTACCCCTTACGTTCATTCCCCTTTTCTCAGAGGAAATTTACTGTGATGTCTTACCCATGGATTTTGCTCATGTCCTGTTGGGTCGTCCGTGGCTTTATGATCATGATGTTAAGTATTTTGGGCATGATAACATTTATGAGTTTCTTCACAACGGCAAAACTATTCGACTATTACCAGCCAAACCCTCGAACCCCCCGAAGAAAGCAACACCCACTCCAATGCCCAAGGATGTCATCGACGCTCGTCTTCAATTATTATCCTTTAAAGATTTCGAGCATGAAGGTCAGGACACCAAGCTTATGTTTGCCTTGGCTGCTAGACCAGGTTCACAAACCACTCTTAATTCTCACAGTGACTTTTTGCCCGAGGTCACTTCACTGCTCAACGAATTTAGTGATGTTATGCCTATCGACCTACCTGATGCACTTACTCCTATGTGGGATATTTAACATGATATCGACCTTGTCCCTTGCTCTCAGCTACCGAATCGACCCCATTATAGAATGAACCCTGCTGAGCGAGCTGAACTCAATAGGCAAATTGAAATTTTACTCGATAAAGGTTTTATACGTCCTAGCCTTAGCCCTAGTGCAGTTCCAGTCTTACTCATCCCTAAGAAGGACAGCTTATGGCGCATATGTATTAACAGTCGTGCCATCAGCAAATTCACCATTAAGTACCGATTTCCTATCCTACGACTTGAAGATATGTTGGATGAGTTAGCAAGGTCTTTGTGGTTTTCGAAAATTGATCTACGAAGTGGGTATCATCAAATAAGGATTAGACCATGGGATGAATGGAAAACGACATTCAAGACCCATGATGGTTTGTACGAATGGTTGGTTATGCCTTTTGGACTGTCTAATGCCCCTAGCACTTTTATGCAGGTCATGACCCATATATTGTGACCTTTTATTGAAAAGTTATTTGTCGTATATTTTGATGACATCTTGATTTATAGTCGATTGCAAGAGGTTCATCGAGCTCACCTCCAACAGGTATTCCTTACTCTTCGTTCTGCACAGCTAATGTTCATTCCTTCGCCCTGAGGTCCTCTTCTTAGGGATCATCATTTCTACCCAAGGTATTTTTGCTGATCCAACTAAAATCTCGATTATTCGCAATTGGTCAGAACCTTCCACCTTAATCGAAATTCGTAGCTTTCATGGGCTAGCATCGTTCTATCGAAGATTAATTAAAGGTTTTAGCACTATTACTACACCCATCACTGAGTGTATGAAAAAAAAGGGATTTTTGTTAGACCCCTTCGACCCAAAGAGCTTTCTTAGTTATTAAGTAAAAATTGATTGAGGCTCCCATTTTACAACACTCGGATCATTCTAAGGTTTTTGAAGTTGCGTACGATGCTTGCATTGTAGGTATAGGAGGTGTCTTAAGTCAGGAAGGTCATCCCGTCGCTTACTTTAGTGAAAAATTAAACCATGCTCGACAAAAGTATTCCACCTATGATAAGGAGTTTTATGTTGTTGTCCAGTCTCTTCATCATTGGCGATATTACTTATTGCCTCGCAAGTTTGTTCTGTACTCTAACCATCAAGCTCTTCGCTTCCTTAATTCCTAGCATCATTTAAGTGAGCGACATGTCAAGTGGGTTGAACTTCTTCAGGAGTAAACTTTTGTTCTCCATCATCGCGCCGAGATTAAAAAACAAAGCGGCTGACACTCTTAGTCGTCTCACTACAATGCTTTAGTCTATGAGCACTACTGTAGTCAGATTTGAGCACTTGAAGGACGATTATCCTACTTTTCTTGACTTTGGCACCATCTTTCAGGACCTCTTAGACAATCTGTCTCGCGACCATATTTCTTTCTTGCTTAAAGATGGTTATCTTTTCAAAGGTGCCAAGTTATATATCCCCCGTACTTCATTTTGTAACTTCCTAGTCTGGGAACTACATGCAGGGGGTCTTGCTAGTCATTTTGGTCAGGATAAAACAGTCGTCTTAACTGAGGATCGATTTTAATAGCCGTCCCTTAAGAAAGACGTTGATATCATTGTCTCTTCCTGGGATATAAACTCCTCTTTCTGTTCCTCTTACTCCTTGGCCTGACCTTAGTATGGACTTCATTCTCGGGTTACCTAAAACAGCTCGAGGTCATGATTCCATTTTTGTGGTGGTCGATAGGTTCTCTACGATGGCACACTTCATTCAATGCTCCAAGTCTTCAGATGCATCCCATGTCACTAAGTTGTTCTTTAGAGGAGTTGATCGTCTCCACAGGCTTTCCAATCGTGATGTTAAGTTTGTTAGCTACTTCTGGAAAACACTATGGAAACTGTTTGGGACGACGCTTAAGTTCTCTTTTGCATTTCACCCCCAAACTGATGGTCAAACTGAAGTTGTAAATCGTAGTTTGGGTAATCTACTTCGTTGCTTAGTTGGGGATAAATCAGGAAATTGGGATCTTGTGTTGCCCACCGCTGAGTTTGCTTACAATAATTCTGTTAATAGATCTACCGATCGTAGTCCCTTTGAGGTTGTTTAGGATTTCTCTCCTCGCCGACCGCTTGATCTTATCCCTTTGCCTCCTAATTTTCATCCCCTACCTTTGCTCAAGCTTTTGTTGATCATATTCGTGACTTGCATGATAATATTAAATGTAAAATTTCTTTAAGCAATGATCAGTATAAATTATCTGCTGATTCCCACCGTATGCATAAAGAATTTAACGTGGGCAATTATGTCATGGTCCGACTTGTACATGAATGATTCCCTAAACATGCAGCCAAGAAACTTTGTGCTAGATCACTGGGGCTTTTCCGCATCATCAAACAGCTTGGAACTAATGCTTATTTACTTGAGCTGCCAACACACTTAAATATTTGTCCTATTTTCAATGTAGTAGATTTATTTCCTTATCGAGGCACATTTGAGCATTCGGTATTGTCGCGTAACATTTCTGCAGGATAGTCTTCTCGGTCGCCCCCTTGAGCTCCTATTACCACATTTTCTGATGAGAAAGGGGAAGAGGGCATTGATGTTTAGGAAACCTTTTCGTCGGTAGCTATGCACAGGATGTTATTGATGAGGTACTTGATGATCAATTTGTTGCTTTGTAGAATGGTGGTTTTTGTCGATTTCTAGTGCGTTGGGACGGTCGCCCACCTAGTGATGCTACTTGGATTGATGAAGTAGAGTTCCGTCAACTGGATGCTACACTTTTAGATGCTTATCTGGATTATACCTCATCGGAGTCGAATTCTTATCAGTCAGGGAGGAATGATGAACATTGGAAAGTGTATTCTAGGCGTAATCAGAATCAAATCAATTAAAGATCAAATTTTTATTATTGCATTTTCTAGTTTTGGTAGAATAATAAATTTGTTTCCTTCTAAACAAAAGAAAACTCTAGTTTTTTTTGCTTTTTATTGCAATTTTCCTCTTTATTTTTATTTAGAACCTATAAATTGAGGTTCTTGGATTGTAATAAAGACACTTTTGATTATTGAATAAATCAACTATCTCTCTTCATTCTTAGATTCTTAATCTCTTCTCTTCTATATTGTTCTTGTCATTACAATCGGCATCACATTGATTGTTGATAATTGCACCACGAATGACATTATGATTAACATTATGTTAGATAAGCTTTCTCTTGGTTCTTTGCTATTGAATGGTGAATTTTTCTACTTGCGATGTTGTGCACACATATTGAACCTGATGGTAAAGAGTGGTTTAGATATCATTAGCCCGAGTGTTGAGAGAATCCGCAATAGTGTTTCATATTGGTCAGCATCACAATAAAAATTGAAACATTTAAGCCAGTTGCATGACAAATGAAAATCCCTTGTGAAAAAAAGTTAGCACTAGATTGTAAGACTTGATGAAACTCCACGTATCTAATGATTCAAACTGATTTACTTTACAAAGAACTTTTTTCTCGTCTAAGGAAAAAAGAGGCTCAATACAAAAGTGTACCTAATGAGAGTGATTGTAACTTAGCTACGGAGATTTGTGATAAGTTGGAGATATTTTATGAAGGGACTGAATTATTTTCAAGTACAAAATATCCTACTGCCAATCCATCCATTCCAAATATTTGTGACATGAAGTTGGCAATCCGTGATTGGAACACATCATTTTTTGATGAAGTAAAACGGATGGCGTTTAGCATGAAGGAAATGTTTGACGAATGTTGGAGTGGCATGCGTGGAATTCTAGCTGTTGCAACTATATTAGATCCAAATGAAACTAGTTGAATACTATTTTCTTTTGATCTTTGGAGATGAAGCGCGAGAAGAGGTTGAAAAGGTTATAGTATTTTGTCACAAGTTGCTCAAAGAGTACAAGAGACCACATCATTCGAAAAAAAATACATCTTAGTCTTCATCATCTTTGCAATCAGAGTCGTCTACTACTGTTGGAAAACATTTTTGCACGGCTAGTTTTGATACATTTGTTAGCCATTTTATCACTGCTGATCGTGCAGTAACAGAGTTCGATTTTTTTTTAGACGAACCAGTATTGCCAAGGATGGATGGTTTTGATTTATTTACAAGGTGGAAAGCAAATTCAAAAAAAAAAATTCCAACTTTACAGAAGGTTGCAAGAGATTTATTAGCCATTCAGTATCTATCGTGGCATCTGAGTCAGCGTTTAGTACAAGCGGTAGATTTTCACCTGAAGACTTTAGAAGCTTTAATGTATGCTCGAGATTGGCTTTGGACTGATATTCATGGTTGGATTTATTGTATTACATTTGTTATTCATATACTTTCTTTTATTGGTAATTTTTTTTTCAATTGTGTGTAGAAAATTTTGCTCCATCATACTCCAGAGCTTGTGCAAGGTTTAATGAGGAGAATGTTGACGAAGAGGTACATTTTTTTGTTTAAATCTTTAGTTAAGACCATTCTGGATTAAGCAGTATGGTTGTATTATTACCGTACTTACATTTCTTATTTACTATATGGGAATCAACTTTGAGTCTTGACTTATGCTAGTAAGAGTTGCGGTGAATAATTAAGATTGAATATGAATTGAGGTCGAAGCTTTTGAGTTATTGAGTAGGAATCAAGTTCGATGCATAAGGATCAAGGGACAAGGATTTTGTTTAGTATTGTTATGTTGATAATATTGTGTTAAATTCGGATTTTGCATTTGGGAATTAGGATATTGTTTGTATTTTCATTTAGGATATTGTTTGCCAAATTGGCTTAGTATTGGGTTTTTATTTTCATTAACTTTTTGTCATAATTTTTTTTTTTTTAATTTGACGGTTGGACCTATAAAAAATAATTTATTTTCGTGGTTATCAATCACCCGAACCAAACCAACTAATGTGGTTATGGTATGACAAAAAATCGGTGGTTCAATAATAGTTTTGGCTTAACCGACCTTGAACCGAACCTTGCCAACCCTAGCTATCCATATGATCCGTTTAATAACTAAGTATTTGAATTGAATAGTTTAATTCCTCAATAAAA